AATAAAAAGTTTTTCGACTCCTCAATTTTGAAGAATATTTCAGAAATGTCATTGTCTTTTTCAAGTTTATGATTTTTCCTCAAAATTTTCAGAATTGATGGGGGTACCTCAAAAGATGACAAGGATAGATATTTAACCTTGAAGCTCAGATTATCCTCTTCTTTGACCAGTTGGAGCTCTGTGTCTTTTTCTTCCTCTACTTCTTCTGGATTCTGGATCTCTTTTTGCATTTCCTCTTCATTTGTCAATGTGATTGCAAAAGTTTGCTGGCTAGGATCACATTCTATTTGAGAGAAAAGTTTTCCTGAATCCCTTGCTTCAAGCCTACTCACGGCTCCGGCTATTTGACTCACTTGAGATTCCAAGCTCAAAATGCTAGACTTGGTCTCATTTTGGAATTGCACCATGTTTTGTTGCATGGTGGTTACGCTGTTAGTAAGAGCCCGAACCATGTCCTCCGTGGACATATTAGAGTTGGAGAACGGATCATACCTCATGTGAGGTACATCATCAATTTGTGCAAGGTATTCTTCTTGGAGCTTTGGGCAGAAGTCCGTAAGATGCCTGTGAGACATGCAAATGTTGCATGTCTTGGCATCTTGAGCTTTTGAGTTAAAGATAGATTCCTTTATTAGAGAAGTCAAGAAGGAAATTTGACTCTCTAAGGATGAAGTGTTGGTATCCATATACTCATAACTCATGTAAGCTCAGAAAATAGAAGAGCAAGATTTTTTTTTTATGTTTTTTTTTGTTTTTTATTTTTATGAGATAAAATAAAAAGAAAAGTAATTGCCTTTCCCCGGAAACGGTGCCAAATTTGACGAGCACTTTGTCACGGTGGGTCAAAATAATTTCAATACTAAACACTTATACGTAGTATAGCGTAGTAGAGTTCGTATCCACAGGGAAAGGAATATTTCTCTTTTTATGATACTTAGTAAATTAAAGGGGGGATTTGGATTGAGTGATTTAATTTAATTAAGAACTAAGATGAACAACCTATATGAGATTTAATTCAAAGATAAAAAGGACTTGGCATTGCTACTTTCCACTTGTTGATATATTTTAGTCGAGCATTGTTATATCTATAACTTATTCCCTCTCGAATACTCAATCGGGGAGTATATCCACTTCATCGAGGGTAGTTATTAACAACGACCGTTCATTAATAACCCTTACTATTAATCAAATATAGAACAACGCCTTATACCGATTTAATAGTAGCATTTAATCTTTCTAACTCCTTGATGAAATCAATTGAGATTGATAACCTCAACACAAGCGGTTTCGGTTTAACCAACAAAATTAATCCCTCTTAAGTTTATTAACCACGACCGTGCATTAATAAACCGAAGTTACTTACTTGTGAAACCATCAATGATTAACCATCGGTTCGTTGATCGTTTCTAGTAATAATTAATATATGAAACAAAACTAGTTGATCCTTTAAGTAATGTTCAAAATATTAATATGAAATAAGAGTAGGAATTAATTAATATTCAAGGAAGAATATTATTAAAGAAGATGAATCCTACTATAATTAATATCAAGATGTTAACTAATTGTCATCTTAGCAACACTCCCCAACATTAATATAGAGATGGTATTAAGGAAAGAACTATTAATTAATATTCAAGGAAAGAAGTTAAGAAAATAACTCACAACTTTAATAATCAACAAGCTTCAAGAGCAACACCAAGAATGGAAGTTTAGCTCCTCATTTGGAGACTAAACATAGCTAGAAAAATATAAAGAAATACTATTCTAAACTGAGCTTAAGAGTATGGAAGAAGGGATTCTTTTATGGGAAGGAAAAGAGGTGTATTTATAGGTGTTTGGAGGTAGCAGGGTCATTTACCCGACCGGGTGTTTGGGAAACCCGATCGGGTTTCTTGAGTAATTGCCCGGAATGTTCATTAGTCACATCTACCCGATCGGGTTTTTGATTTACCCGATCGGGTAAAAGACAAATCTTTGCCAAATCTTCGCTCTGCATGTTAAATTGCCTCCAAATCAAATTTGATCTTCGGGTCAAGTCAAACCCAATCGGGTTTTTGACTATTTTCCCAATTTTTCACTTTTTGTTGTTCCCTTGCACTTTTCTTGAACCTTCCAGGATCCTTTTGACGATCTTTACCTAGTTTAAGCTCAGAAAGTCCCTAATCTAAAAAAATTACAACTATTTTACAAACTAAACTATTACACCAAAAGTGTGTAATTTCCAAAGTAAAAGTCAATCAAAACTAATTAAAAATACAAAAATAAACATGGAAATTACATGAATGTCAGCGATCTAGCGCGAGGACGACACGGTGAGCTTCCCGTTTCAAGACGCGGGCCATTTTGTGGGCCCTTCGTCCTAGACATCATCGGCCATACCAGGGCATTTCACCTCGAAGGGGCCGATACGATGTTTGGATTGTGTGGCATCGTCAGCCATACCTGAGCGTTTCGCTTAAAGGGGCTGATGCAACGTGATGTGCTGTGTGGCATCCTTCACTTAAATTTACAAGAAATAAGCGGAACACAATAGGTGCGTTGTTCATGGCAATGGATTTTATTAAAATCAGTGGCTCGAGGCCGAGGGTGGTAACCTTTTCAACAACCCGTATAGGAGTTAGCTTCTCAGTGAGCTTCTGACATTGGGGTGGAGGCTCTGTCGTATACACCCTCTTCGGATTTTTTATAGAACTTCACCGAGATGTAGGGCCCTTCGTATTTTGAGGCATCCTTCACTTAAATTTACAAGAAATAAGCGGAACGTACACAATAGGTGCGTTGTTCATGGCAATGACTTTTATTAAAATCACTGGCTCAAGGCCGAGGGTGGTAACCTTTTCAACAACCCGTATAGGAGTTAGCTTCTCAGTGAGCTTCTCACCTTGGGGTGGGGGCTCTGCCGCCTGCACCCTCTTCGGATTGCTGATAGAACTTCATTGAGATGTAAGGCCCTTCGTATTTTGAGGGATAAGCCATCCGTCGGCTTGCTGGCTCAGCTGTTCGTCGGCTTGTTGTGAGCTCCTGACCCATTAGGGTGTCAGTTTGTGCGCGCCGTTCTTGATTGCGGCACTGATGACGTAAGGTCCTCCGTATTTTGGGGGCTAATTTTTCCTCCTCCCCATCGGATGTGCGTCCCTTCGGTGATGACGTAGGGCGATCAGCGGATGTGACGCTTCTTCAGCTGAGGCTCCTCGAAGTCCTCGTCATCGCTGAGCCTCCCAATTTCTCGCTTCTTTGTCGGGGTGTCCCCTTCCTGATTGCCGGTGGAGTTCCTTGGGGTACCTTTGACAAATTGTTGGAGTTCACCTTGTTGAATTAAGCGCTCAATGGCTTTGTTCAGCGTGACGCAATCGTCTGTATCGTGGGAGGCGTTCTTGTGGTAACGGCAATAAGTGTCGCCCTGGTGGACGGCGTAGATTTCTTTCACCGATCGTGGATCCCAGGGAAGTCGAGGATGGTGCTCACCGAGTATGTGAGGGGAGTCCTTGGCATGTCCAACCTCGGTCGTCATGGGCGCTTCTTCCGGCTCTGGTGGGCATGGCCTCCGACCGAGGGTGCACTTGGAGCCGGCGCATTGTTTGTCTTCTTTGATGGTTGGCCTCCATCCTTCTTGTGGGAGTGGAGCTCATCGACGTTAGCATACAAACTCCCTCGCTGGAGTGCCTTGGTGTATGACCTCGGCGGGTCAGTGATGAGGCTCCTCGGGTAGGGGCTGCTGCGGAGAACACCCCGAAAGAAGACGAGGAGGGTGCGCTCATCGGCACCTTCGACCTCGTTGGTCTCCTTCGTCCATCGGTTGATGAAAGACCGGAGTGGTTCATCGTGTTGCTGTTTGATGGAGAGGAGATGGGAGAAATGTTTCTTCACGCGCTTCTTTCCAGCGAAGTGGGTGAGAAGCGTTGGGCAAGATCTTGCCATGACTCCATGCTTCGTTCGGGCAGCGCGTTGAACCACTCGTACGCTGGTCCCTCAAGAGTGGAGAGGAACCAACGGCAGAGGTATTCTTCAGACACATTCACCGTCAGCACGTTGTTCTGATAGCGGCTGAAATGCTCCTGGGGGTCGGTGCGGCCGTCATAGGGCTTGATGGCATTCCTCCGGTACTTCTTGGGTATTGGGGCCGAGATCACCCTTGTAGTGAACGGAGTTTTGTCGTAATTTAGATGACGGGGTCAACATGTCCGTCGGCCAGCTCCCGCTCCAGGGCGCTGACCTTGTGCAAGAGCTCGTTGAAGCCGGGATCCGTAGACGTGTTGGCCGTGGGGGTAGCGGCCAGTTGCTTGGCCTCCATCTGGGCGAGCCTCCTTTCCATCTGGGCGATGACCTCGTCCCGGGGGTCCTTAGCGGCCGTAGCGGCGCCCTGCTGAGTTCTGGCGCGGGCTGCATGGGTCGTGTTGATGTGGCGACGTTCATCGTCCTCGTGTAGCTTGCCCTTGCCTTTGTCAAGGCGAGGCCGATCCGCCGTCCGGGATACGGACCCCAAGCTCTCACTTGGTGAGCCAGGCTCACGTTCATGAATCTGTCCCACTAGCCTCTCTGAAGCTGGCCGACGATGCGCATCCCCTAGCCTATTGAAGGCCGATGCTCTACGCACTGGGGTCGGTCCAGGTCGACGAGGGGAAGCAGGATCGAAATGGGATGTCGTGTCCTAGGCCACCACTCCCTCATCGTTGCCAATGCTCATGACCAACGGCCGGGGAGGAGGAGGTGGTGGAGTGGTGTTCTCCCTCGCCCTTGACATAAGTGCGCTGAGGACGGTGAGGTATGAGCCAGGCTGGCTATGATGGCTGATAGAGCGGCCTGGAGTTGAGGGTCAACAGCGGGAGTAATCTGTTGCCCCGAGGCGTTGTCGCCTTACTCGATGCGTTTCTTCTCAAGGTCGATGCGGGCGTCTTGAGCATTGCCGTTAAGATGATCCCGAAGGTCAGCCGTGGGGACGATCGTCTCATGGAAGATCTCCTCGTCCCCTGCCTTGTCGGCCGTAGCATTGCCAGACACTAGTGGAAAATATGGATTTAATAACGGTTATAATGGACTTTTAATAACGGTTATAATGGACTTTTAATAACGGTTATGAGTTCACAAGACTCATAAAAAACTAGCTAAGAGTCTTAAAATTAATTATATCAAATATCTGTAGCTTCGTAGAAAAATGATGCCCAACGCTCTCGTGTCTCGTTGATTTCTTGATCAGTGAATGACTCTTGAACGTTGAATGCAATGCCTACAAATTAAATAACGAAACTAAATGAGTAAATACAAAAATCGTGAAGTAAAAGAAATAACATGTACAATAACAATAAAATCACAAGTATATGGGAACAAATAAGCTAAAACTTCACCTTCATCCCAGAATCTACAATATAAACAACAATATAAACAGTTATAAGTCATAGTTAAAAGAGATGGGGTTAATGAAATGCATAGCTTTTTTTCAAGAAAACAGTTAAATCTTTTTAGGGCCCAAAAAAAGATTCTAATGAAAATGCATGGGCTATAAGAAGGTCATTCATCTGAACTGTTAAAAGTTGATGGGGCTCATACCGTTTTCTCAGTCGCAACTCAGAATCTTCCGTTTACACTAGCACCTGCTCCACCTCTCCTGACAAAACCTTAAGGATTGAAAGCTGCACATAGAGTCCGAAGGAGTAATTAAGATTCTTAAAAGCAAAAGAAAGCAATCATGGTCAATAGTTAACCAAGGGTTTTCTAAAAGTTGTAATTACATAGTTCACGGTGAATTCTTTTCTAGAATACTCTACACCAAACTTCCAACTTCCTAATATTTTTTTGGGGAAAAAGGAAAAATAAAAAAGAAAAGCAATAGTACTGACACCACCTGCCAACATATCCCATTTAATTTATGTGAATTAACTACATTTGCAAAAACCGGAATGAGAAAAAATGCAGCAAGAAAACACTATTCGGGATCACCATAACTAACCATAAAATTTAGGAGAAAATGCAGCAAGGAAACCCAGAGTCATGTATTAAGCAACAACTCTAATAGCAACCTTATTAGGGCATGCTTTCCAGAAACTTTTGATTCCTTCAAAAGGATATCATTGGGCCCTGCTCTTCCAAGACTCTGTGGAAACTTGGATGTGTTACTTGATTATACTATATATGGAAGGCCACAAGAAGAGCCTCATATCACCTCCAGCTTAAGGACACTTCTTGCAATTCTAACAAGAACATATGATGAAATTTTTTACATGATGACATCTTGGTGACACAAAAACATAAGAAAAAAGTAAAACGCTGCTTATAATTGATTAAAAAAAGTTGCTTTGATCACTGATATACTTCGGAACAAATTCCATATGTTTCTTAGCATTTTAACTTTTTCCTTGTTTTAGCTCTTCGTGAAACTGAGTTATCCCATAGCTCAAGTGTTTTCCCCAATAACGTATAATCTTCTGAAGTATCACCAATATCAAGGACAACACTGTCACTTGAAATAACGTTCAAACCCTTCATTTCCATCATCTATCACATAAAAATTAAGATATCTAAGTACATTGAAAAATAGAAATTCATTATCATTCTTTTTCCTTTGCATTTTCCCAGGCACAGCTGAACATAAGAATAATTATTTTCCATAACCTTATTTTCATTTCCCACACTATTTCTGCGGCCTAAAGTCTACACATGCTCTTCATGTTGTGTTTCAAATGTGATGATGTAGAGGGGAGCCTTTGTTTAGGAACAAGGTTGTGGGACAGGCATGATACGAAAAATGACTAACACATCTTGTTCTTAAAATTGATAAAAGAATGAAATTCTGTAGAAACATTCTTTCAAAATCTCACTTGGGCATATTCACATAATCTCAGTCGGCTAACAAAGTGTAAGAGAAACCATAGAAAAAACCAGACAGAATTAACAGTCTCATACCATAATGAAAAGGATTGGCATCATATGTAGACAACCGATGATCATTAGAGATTAACTAAGTGAAACTATAGACAATTTTTTTCAAATAGCGCAGATGAGCAGCCCATATCTCATACCGTACAAACTCAAAGCTAAAAGATTTTAAACTCCTATTCAGAATTATAATGCAAAAAATATAACTACGTACATAAATAAAGGTGTATATAGTCATCAAATATTGTTCGGAATTCAAAGAGTTGCATCACTAGGTGTCCTAGAATTGTTTCAAATTTCAAGAAATTTAAATAACTGTATGCAAAGAATTCCAACTACAAAAGCATCAATAATGAACGACTCAAGGTGAACGAATGTTAATTTGTTAAGCACGAGCTTGAATGCTAAAAAACTGATTCGAAGCAGGCAAGTACTAAACTCCATCACGAGAGGAAAAAATGAATACACAAAATTGGATTCAACAAGAACAAAGAGAAGCAAGACAGGTCTATCATAATTAGAGCAGTATTCTAATGTAGAAATGATATCCATAAGTCAACATTCAGAATAATAGAAACGTCACTATAACAGATCTGATCCATGAGATATAAATGACAACCCCTACGATTGAAAAACGCACAAAAATAAAAGAAAGTGGATAGAAAAGAATAGATCTGAAGAACTGAACTTGCATATTACACTTAACGGGGTCGAGAGGAGTGACAACCATGTGAGTGAGACCGCAGCTCAAAATACCACCAGCGGTGCAGGCATCATAGTACTTAGGGGAGTGGAGCTCGATCTTGCTAGGTTCGCTTGGAGACGGAATCAGGAAGCCCTTACTCGGAGAAGATGAAGGCGGTAAGCTAAGGTTTGACTCAGCGATAATCATCTCGGATGACAAAGGTTTGGGAGTGTACGCAAATACCGGCGATGAGTAGAGGGAACTCGGAATGAGAGCGTGACGGCAGGACGAGTTCTCCATGGCTGGGAACCCTACTCTTGTTTAATGAATACTCATTTGAATACCCTTTTCTTAAAGGTTAAAAATCAGCTCACATAGAAGTGTATTTTTTTAAATTACAAAAGATACCCTATTTGTAAATTAAGTTTGCAGAAATTATTAAAATGACCCCGTTTTTGTTAACTATGTTGGTTCTTTTTATAACCGTTATAGACAATAGTTTATATTTTTAGAACTTACCCCGCTGAACTTACTTGAACTTTCATTATTTATAAATATGACCCTGTGCCTACATTTAATAACGGTCCTGAATGAACCCATATTAAAACCTAGTTATAGAATATATATTTTGCACTAGTGAGAGTGTTCACGATCGTCCTGAGTTTCAGGGATTGCCTTGCCGATGAGGTTACGGTTCGACCTTGTTCTTCCCATAGTCAGTTAGCTGTGCTTGGTAGCGACGAAGGGTGCTAACTTGATTGTTCTAGCTCTCAATGAAAGCACCAAATGATAGATTATATGTCTAGAGAGAAGTGAGAGCTAGAGAGAGAAGTTGTTTGTATTAATGATTTGTCAACCCTTTACATGACTCCCAAGGGGAGTATTTATAGGAGAAAAGTGGGCTGGGCTCCCAAGTCTTGGGCTTGGGAGGCCCATTACAATATAAGGCCTCTATTGGGCTGATTACATGAGAAGACTAGTTCTGTGAGCTCCTTTTGTGGGTGACGAACGTCTGGCTGACGGAGGTGTGACAGACGAAGGTCCTGGGGACGAACGTCTAGCTAACGGAGGTGTAGCAGACAAGGTCTGGGAGACGAACGTCTGGATGACAGAGATGTGGCAGACGTAGGTCTTGGAGACGAGCGTCTGGCTGACGATGTAGTGATGAAGGACGTACGTCCCGGGGTCTTTCATGTACTGAAGGCCGTACGTCCCCGGGGTTTTCCATATGATGAAGGACGTACGTCTCCGGGGTCTTCCGATCCATGTACTGAAGGCCGTACATCCTTGGGGTTTCCCATGCGCTGAAGGACGTACGTCCCCGGGGTCTTGTTTGCGGTAGTGGAAGTATGTGGGTCATGGGTTCTGGACCCATATACTCCATCAAGATCAAAATTTGCTTCTTCTCCAACAGACCTAGTTGAAAACCTCCTCCTTTAAGGCCAATCTTTTCAAAAGCCTTAGGTAATTTCTTTATAGGTGGAAGACCCCGATCAAAGCACGTCAATGTTTGGCTGCCAGAATCTAGATATCAACATTCGAGAAAGCAATCACTGGCATACCTTTGAATCGGAATGTTGTTTTAGAAATGAGGGGAGCCTCAACAAAACCTGAGACCACCAATTCAAAGGATTTAGCCGAAATTGAGCGTCCATCATTTTTTTTTATCTAATTAAATAAATTAGAATAAGCAATAAGTAAAAAGAATAAGATTAGATAACAACTCCTAACAAAGAGATGTAGCCAAATTGTTGCGGCGACAAGAGTTTAATAATTAACCAAGGGGCAATTTCGAAGTAATCATTGTTGCATTCCAAAAATTTTGCTGGATATGGTCATTTTTTCCCAAAAGGTGAAGATAAAGGGGGTGTTTGGAAAATTGCGTTTCAGCCAAAATATAGCGGTTTGACCCAATTCAGCATTTTCAATAAGTTAAAATGTTGTTAGGTAAATAGTTGTACGACCCTAGCGTGTTTGGACAGAACCGCTGAAATGAAAATGATGCAAAGAAGAGAACTTTGGGTTAGCGTTTAGAACTATTGTGTTTTATACTGATCGTTATTGTTAAACAACTAATTAAATTATTAAACATCTTCTGGCAATCCACCAACTTATTCCACAAATCAAACTACAAACTGAATCCACTATTGACAATCCGCTTACATAATCCGTTATCCGCTAGCAGCTAACCGCTAAATGCCAAATACGTCAAACAAATTATCTTCTACATATCACATAAAGTAACATAGAGAAAAACTTTGATATGGAAAAATAAATGAAAACATAAAATGGGAATGAATGCTATTCCGGCCAAATAATCCCGGTCGGTGACGTGATTTAGGGTACAGTCTGGAATTTTGTTACGGATATTATCCCATACAAATTTTGTTAGGGAAATATCCCTGACAAAACTGTTTGACCGAATTTTTGTGTAATCCCTAACAAAATCCCTGACAAGCTTGTTGAGGACAATATCCCTGACTAAAATCCTTGACAAAATCAATGTTTTTTTGTAGTGTACATACTATGTAGATTGTTAATTGGAAACTTAAGAGTTGGATTTAACGGAGGTAAGGGGCATAAATATGGGTAATGTTGAACGGTACCACGATTAAAACAAATTGTAAAAGTGCATATTCCTTAAGTGTTACACCAACATTTTTATCATTCCTAAAATGCTCTAACCATCATTGGTGCTTATAAGTTTTTAGATCAGATTAGATATCAACAATCATTATATTAATTAGGATTATTAACTTATTTTATCCCACACTATTATCAAATTCACACATCTATCCTATTCTTTCATTTCTATAAAAAAAAAGACTCAAACTTCATCTTTTTCAACAATTATGCTTTTCTTTTTTGTTTTTTCAAAAGTATACATTTTTATCAATACCGATTAGATATAAGCAATACTCTCTCCGTCCCTTAAAACTTTGTTATCTTTCCTTTTTGGGACGACCCAAAAAACTTTGCCACTTTCCCTTTTAATCAATTATTTTGTGGTTTCTGTTATTTCTCTTTCCTCTGCACAAACCTTAACCACACAGTTTTTACTTTATTATTCTTCGTGGTGGTCAACTTTGGCAAAGTTTTAAGGGACGGAGGTAGTACAAATTTGTAGACTTGAAAGTAGAAACAAGTGAAAATATGAAATATGAATATGATTTTCTTCTTAATTTTTACTAATTCATCCATTGGAAGTGTATTTGTGAGAAAAGTTGAAGTTTGAGTCTTTTTTTAATAAAAGTGAAAGTATGAGATAGATTTGTGAATTTGATTATAGTTGGAGATACATTTAGCTAATAATCCTATTAATTATTACTACCTCTGTCTCACTATTATTCTCTCGTTGCGGTTTACGATGCTTGATCGACGATAAAGCAAACGAATCTCTGTCCTTACTCAAATTATTTTTCGAAAAAAAGGTACATATTGAGAAACTACATTAAAAGCTTTACAGCGTCACAAAAACCAAAATCAGATTTGTTAAAATTTGATATATAAAGTAAGAGATTAAGAGTAATTTGTGTTATTTTCCAAAAAAAAAAGTAATTTGTGTTGGCCAAGTGAATATGAACATGAACAATAACAGTCAGATGAAGGGAGTACATGTTTTCACAAAAATTTACCAAAAGTGCATATTTGACGCACACAGTTTATATTTTATATAAAATGACTTACATATTTAACCACACTTACATAGTTGACAAGTTAATAACATATTTTTAAAATATTCATAATATCATTTACTTTTTTTTTAAATCCGGAAGGTAAACCACCTAATTCGGTGGGCAAATGACGGGGACATTTGACATGTTTTATTAAAAAAAGAGAAAGTAATGTATCACATTTGCACCAAAATACACTGTTTGAATTAATATCTCTTACACGTTACTAGTACGTATTTACCTCTATTATAACGTAATTTGCATGAAAATAAAACATGAGTTACACAAAAGCATAACTTAACATAAGTTGCAGTGTTGCACCAAACAATTTGCCGGGAAGTTAGTCAAAAGTTACCCATCTTTACATCGTTCCTGGTCAAGGAAGCACACGAAATTTCAATCCCGCAAATCCACAATTTATACCCATTGTTGAATAGTAGCTTCTTAGAAGGAGTAATTTGAAATCATTGAACAAAACAATTATAGAACGTCGCAAAATCCACGTGACAACTATCTCCGCTCCATTTAAATTTCCTACTAGTGAGTTTGGTGTTTGGATGCATGTAAGTTTTACAGTTATAGAATATTTTATGTACTTATTTTCTATTAATTAATTTATTTATTATCAACTTACCAATTTTGAAAAGTTGCGATACAATATATATATAGTAAGTGTGGAATCTGATTTTCGACAACTGCATCTCTCCCGTTATTGACTTTTGTTCCGATTCAAAGTGGTGAACGTGAAAAATGAAGACATACATGCATGCGGCATTTCGAAACAGATGGATCGGAAGCCATAGAAATAAAAGAATAGACTACGATGGATAGGCCGCGCCGGAGTTGTATCATCTGCCGCACGTCGGCCTCATGGCCGGCGGCCTTTCACCACCGCAACATTATATTGTGGAAGGAATTAATTAAACACAAAAGATCACGACGGTGATGAATGATATGATGACGCGCGAATGAATACAATAGACGGTTTCATATAGTACTTCTTGAGAGTTAAGGTTATGAAAAAAACTCAGAATTCACCAAAATTCTATCGGACGTACGTATATGCAGGCAGGCTAGGGTCTCCTGGTCTCGGAAAGGTGGCAGAAGAATGCCACGGAATTAGGGTACATGTTATGGCACGGCGACGAGCCTGACGGCGGCACAAAATTCTTGGGAAGCATGGCTGAGTAAGCCGCCGCCTTCACGGACACCCCCGCCGCCGCCATAGTTGACGGGGATGGATAGTTTTTCTCCTTCTTCAGTTTCCTCCAGCTCTCCCGCCGCATGGTCACGCTTATTTTCTTCGCCCCCACCACCACCGCCGCCGCCGGCTGAAGCTTGAATTTCTTGAAGATTCTTGAAGACTCCCGGCCGATGGGGGGCAGGGTACCGCAATGGGTCGATGAGTTGTTGGTGTGATGATGGGCAAAAGAAGCAGAGGAGACGACGACGAAAAGGAGAAGGAAGACGATTGTAGTAGCGAAAGGCGGCGTTTTCAGTATCATCATCATCACCATATTAAGATCGAATTTAGGGTTTCTTCTTCGATCTTGCAGCGAGCTGGCATTTAATTCACCGTCCGACGAAAGATGTGTATTTCAGAGATTTTGCCTACGAGATGAAATGAATAGCAAGCTTCCAATTTGCCAATTAATTAACCATACATATATATAGCAAATTATACCATACACCCGG